GATCGTCGGTTCGAATCCTACTGAAAGAAGTCTGATGAGGAAATGTGGTGATTTCCGAAATAGCTATCACTTCTACCATTTTTTCAAATTATTGTTGCTTTTCCACAATAAGTTTTCACAAAAACCAGCCTCAAGCTCATAAAAAATTGTTGAATATAATAATCTTAAACTTTTATATGAGAATTGAAGTCGGTTTTGTTTTTTGCTTAAAAATTACTTGTTAAAAAATATGGTATGTAGTGCTAACTTCTTCTATCTAGTCGATAGAATTGAGTTTATTAAAATGTTATAACGGTATTAATTGTAAATTTTTGGTTGTAAATTTGTTGTGGAAAGAAAAAATTTGTAGCTTTCGTTTTTAAGGAAAACAAATGGTATGTAGTGCTAACTTGACACCGTACACCTAGTCGATAGAATTGAGATATGTTATAACGGCATTAATTGTACCTTTTTTGTTGTGGAAAGAAACAATTTTAAGCTTTCGTTTTTTCAACGATTTTATTGAGCTTGAGGCCGCTTTTGATGAAATTTTTTGCGGGAAAAACAACAATTTTCATTTTGGAGATCACCACATCTTCTCATCATACCTCTTCAGCTGGGATTCGATCCAATAACCCCAGCCGCCTAAGCACTGAGCTAAGTTCGCCACGTAAACTGTTGTAGCTTTTTTCCATTTTTTTCATGTGCTAAGCCAACTACAATCAAGCACAGCTATTCCGCTGCCATTTACACTTGATCACGTGGTTGTTGGTTTTTGTTAATACATAATTCCATTTTTAGAATGTTTAACTTTTAGGTGTGCTCGTCCTTAAGTTATTTGTTTTTAATATTTATGGCCTTATAAAAATTATATTCAAGAATTTTATTGAGCTTGGCGGCGTTTTTAATGAAAATGTTTGCGGAAAAAACAACAATTTACACTTTGGTAGAAGTTATAGCTGCTATTTCGGATATCACCACATCTCATCAGACTTCTTCAACTGGGATTCGATCCAGAGTTTGAAAATGAGTGTGCATTGTGCCATTTTCGGCCATTTCGGAAGCAGCCGACACCTTAAGCACAATCTATTGATATTCGGTACTATTTTGTCGTAACTCAATGCAACTAATATATATATTTATTTCGGACCTGCAATTAAAAATCTATATTTTTTTTACTGTTTTATCGTATATGCTTAAATTGATAAATGGTATTAACATAGAAATACAAGCAGAAGAAGCTCTCATTCACATTTTGCATATGAGCCATTCTTTTTTAAGTCGGACGGATTTCGTAAAAAAAATTATGTTATGTCTCCGTTTCGCTTCAAAAATTTTTTATGGGTTCTATACGCGAAATAAGCTAACACGTATTCGAGGAAATTTTGTTATTTATTTTTTCTTCGGAGATATGATCTGTCAAAGTTTTGATTTTTTCGTGATTCTGACTATTCATGTACTTCTTCAAATAGTTTTATCTCGGGTTCTGCTCATCGTAGAGACTTCATCTTAACGTAATTTTAAAGCTAAAGAAACGGGCTTAACATTTCTATGTATAGGGTGGTCATGATTGTCCTACGGCTAACTAAGCTATAAACAGTATAACTTTTTGAAGTTGATTTACATAGTGAAGACCAGTAAATTAGGGATTTAAAGTCATACCATCATAATCCTTGTTTAATTCTCTATAAAAACCATGTTGTTAAAAAATGTGGGTTTTAAAAGAACTATTTTTAAAATATTTTTCTGTATAACAATATGTTTTATTTTGTGAGAGTTAACAATTTTTTGAAATTTGTTTTCGGAAACTTATGATGAAATATATTTGGCAAGGTATTAAAAATAGTATTTTTGCAAAAATCTAAATGTTATAGGGAATTCCGATGGGTACTCTCATTCAGTAATAAATATTTGTTCTTTAAGGCGGCAAACATCTAGAAATGGCCGTGGCAATTTTAGGACTAGATTTCGGCAGAATACCTTGCTACATATAATACAATATGTGTATTACAATGGATATGTGTATTCTTCAAAATTATATTGTTTTTTTTTTAAGCTATGGTACCTTCTTGGACCAGTTAACTATTTCTATAACTTAGTTTATTTTATTTCATCACAATAATTGCTGTTGATCTTTCATACAAAGAAAAAGGTTTTGCAATTATCTTATATCTGGATACTGGAACTATACAATGCAATTTCCAAGTGCCCTTAACAGCTATTGCCCTTTTGAAACGATTTTGTAATTTTTTTTCTTCTGATTCATATTCCTCGTTGGTGGCAAAACAGCATACAATATTCGGCAACGATTCATTTGCCCAAGAGAACAAATCCTTCGGACTTTGAATAGGATTAGTCGTGCGTTGTAGGCTAGCTCTAGCCGCTAACCTTTTCAGAGTTCCACCCAACCCATCACATGCCCCTTTACCATGTGAATTTGGGGAAAAATGCCACTCTGCAGTCATACCAAAATCACTGTTATGGTGAGTCAAATTTATAAAATTCTTTTTGTTTTTGTATTGTCCGCCCCGTCCGAAAAATAGATAATTTTGTTGATGTTGGGTAATTTTGTTTTTAAAAAGTTCACTAAAAATCGCTGAAAAAGGTGAACAGCAACGGTGTTGTGATGCAAACAATCCGAAATAACAATTAAATTTCTTACTTGCACTACGTCTTTTTCATGTTTGTGATAAATTGCAAACGGATGCACTGTTGCTTGGTCATTGTTCCAATGTATACCTTGCACAGAATTTTGAATAACAAACGCATAGTTTTCCGAAAAATCACAAACAACAATGCATTCATTTGCTGTTAAATTTTGCTTCGGATTATTAAAAAATTCTGTCTGTTTCACCACGAGATATGAATGTAATAGCAATTTATTTAATCCGTCTTTCAGCATTGTTAAATATTCATCTACCGGGGATACTAAAGTCTGTAAAGTAGTCCTGTCAACATTCGTCTATTGTCTGTAAGTAATGCTATCAATAAAATGATCATCGAAATTTTTGTCTAGTTGTTCCATTACGTTTTCCTCACAAGGACAGTCATCACAAGTTCGAAAATTGCATTTAGTAGAAGGCGGATTACATATCATTCGTTTTAGACAGTCTTGATAATTTTGTAATGGCTGTGGTGTATCGACTGTAATTCTTTTAATATTTGCTCCATCAATTAACAGCTTAACATTTTCATGTATGGGGCAAACACAAACCGAATGCGTACCACTTGCTCCTGCTAATACACAATGCTTTGGTCCCAAAGCAGCAAATTTAGAAAAACTACACTTAATAGTTGGATAAGTGTCTTTGAACGAACAATGTAGTTCTTTAAGATTACTTAAAACTAATCTTTTTTGCATTTGAGTTCTTTTTCCGTCAATTTTCACAGAGACATAATTCTTTTTCCCGGGCATTATTCGGCTATTCTCATCAGATTGATAAAACTCCGTTACCAAATCAAGCACAGTTTTATCCAGTGATGGATGACTTTTGGGACTCGGCTCCTGTAAAACACCTTTTTCTGAAGCAGTTTTCTTAGCTACGACGATCATATGCTTTGTAGCAGTGGGG